CCCCTGCCCGATCGGTACTGCGCATGTGCGAGATGGTCCGCCATATTGGACAACTCCGGACGGCAACCCAAGATGGACAGTTGACACAGTGGCTTTTAGCAAAGCTCAAAAATAAAACTCGAGAGAAAATGAGTTATTGTTATTACAACATGACTTCACTAATATTTAACAACTCTTTGTATTGGGTTCTTTTATTTTGGGTTAAATATATTGTCAGAATAAGTGAGAAATGAATTTAACTTCTGTTAGACAGCCATATGCCATACATTTTTGCATACATTCACAGTAAATATTTATTCAGTATGATAGCTGTCTAACAGAAGTTAGGCAAGGCAAGGCAAGTTTATTTATATAGCACCTTTCAACACAAGGCAATTCAAGGTGCTTTACAAAAATGAAAGACATTCAGACAAAGGCATTTAAAAACAGTAAAAGATAATAAAAGAAACATTAAAAGAAAATATACATGAATACAAAGTACATGAATAAAAAGTTACAGTGCAATTTAAGATATGAATAGTTCACACAGAAGTTCCACTTTACTGATGAACACAATGGCTCAGTTTCAATTAAAAGCAGCGACAAAAAGACAAGTCTTCAGCCTGGATTTAAAAGTAGTCAGAGTTGCAGCGGACCTGTAGGTTTCTGGGAGTTTGTTCCAGATATTTGGAGCATAATAACTGAACGCTGCTTTACCATGTTTAGTTCTGACTCTGGGGAGAGAAAGCTGACCAGTCCCTGAAGACCTGAGAGATCTGGATGGTTCATAATTTAGCAGAAGATCAGAAATGTATTTTGGGCCTAAACCATTCAGTGCTTTATAAACCAGCAGCAGTATTTTGAAATCTATTCTTTGACACACAGGAAGCCAGTGTAAAGACTTCAGAACAGGAGTGATGTGATCCACTTTCTTAGTGTTAGTGAGTACTCGAGCAGCGGCGTTCTGAATCAGCTGCAGCTTTCTAATAGATTTTTTAGTGAGACCTGTAAAGACACCATTGCAGTAGTCCAGTCTACTGAAGATAAAAGCATGGACAAGTTTTTCGAAATCCTGCTGTGACATTAGTCTTTTAATCCTAGATATGTTCTTTAGGTGATAGTAGGCTGATTTAGTAATTGTTTTAATGTGACTGTTGAAACTCAGGTCAGAGTCCATGACTACAGCTAGATTTCTGGCTTTATCTGTTGTTTTGAACATTGCAGGCTGAAGCTCAGCGCTAACTTTTATACGTTCTTTCTTGGCTCCAAAAACCATTACCTCAGTTTTGTCTTTGTTTAATTGGAGAAAGTTCTGACACATCCAGTCATTGATTTGTTCAATGCACTTACTCAGTGTTTTAACTGGAGAATAGTCTCCTGGTGAAATGGTTATGTAAATTTGTGTGTCATCCGCATAGCTATGGTAACTTATTTTGTTGTTTTTCATTATCTGAGCCAGTGGTAGCATGTAGATGTTAAAGAGAAGAGGCCCCAAGATGGAGCCTTGAGGAACCCCACATGTCATATTTGTCAACTCAGATGTGTATTTACCTATACGTAGAAACAAAGTTGTTTCTGTCCTTTAAGTAGGATTCAAACCAATTTAGAACTGTTTCTGAAAGTCCCACCCAGTTTTCCAGTCGGTCTAGTAATATGCTGTGGTCAACAGTGTCAAACGCAGCACTGAGATCTAATAATACTAACACTGAAGTTCTGCCACTGTCTGTGTTTAAGTGGATGTCATTGAAGACCTTTAAAAGAGCAGTCTCAGTGCTGTGGTTTGGACGAAATCCTGACTGAAACACATCCAAACAGTTATTTAAATGCAAAAAATTACTCAACTGTTGAAAGACTACTTTTTCAATGATTTTACCTATAAATGGGAGGTTTGATATGGGCCTGTAATTGTTCATTACTGAAGCATCTAGATTATGCTTTTTTAAGAGCGGTTTAATGACTGCAGTTTTCAGGGCCTGTGGAAAAACACCTGAGTGAAGAGACTTGTTTACTATATGAAGTAGATCTGAGGCCATGCAAGGAAAAACATTTTTGAAAAACCCTGTTGGAATAATATCAAGGCAGCAGGAGGAGGATTTCAGAAGTTGAATAATGTCCTCTAGGTTTTTATCATTAATCTGATGGAATTGTGTCATGATGTCTGAATTGATATTAGGTGGACACAGAGACAAAACATTTGCTGTTCCTGATGCAGAGGCACTGACTGCTTGTCTGATTTTCTGAATTTTGTCAGTGAAGAAGGGGGCAAATTCATTGCACGCCCTGGTGGATAGAAATTCAGAGGCTACTGACATTGGGGGGTTAGTTAGTCTGTCGACGGTAGCGAACAAGGCACGTGCGTTGTTTTTGGCAATGATATCAGAGAAGAAAGACTGTCGGGCAAATTTAAATTCCAAATTATAAAGGCCAAGTCTCTCTTTATAGATTTCAAAGTGCACCTGGAGATTTGTTTTTCGCCACCTGCGTTCAGCTTTTCGACACTCTTTTTTCTCTGTTCTCACGGTCATGGCCTTTCTCCATGGAGATATTTTCTTCCCAGTCACTTACTTTACCTTAGTTGGAGCAATGGCATCTATAACATTTTACATTTTTTGAATTAAAATGATCTACTAGCTCATTTACTGAGATGTTAGCAGGGGCAAGTGTGGAAGAAAAATTCTGAGTAAACATTTCCCTAGTGTTTTCAGTTAAATATCGCTTTGTGGTTACCTCTTTTTGAAAAAAATTGTGAACAGAAATAGAGCTCTCAAAGAAAACACAGGAATGATCAGAGAGTGCACCATCAGTCACCACAACCTCAGAGATATTCAGACCCTTTGAGATAATTAAGTCCAGAGTGTGCCCCTTATTGTGCGTGGGCTCCGTCACATGCTGAGTCAGTCCATAGCTATCAAGAACACAAAACAGTTCTTTAGCCCCTCTGTCCTGGGGGTTGTCAACATGGATGTTAAAATCACCAACAATGACTAGACGGTCAAAGTCAATACACACTATAGACAGCAGTTCAGTAAAGTCATCAAAAAAGCTTGCACAGTATTTGGGTGGTCTATAGATATTTAGAAACAGAGCTCGAGAGGAGCATTTCAGCTATTCAAAAGAAGCAAAGTTCCCATAAGATGTCTTCCTGCATTGAAGGGAATCATTGTACAAAATAGCAACTCCACCCCCTTTCTTATGCATTCTTTCCTGACTCATAAAACTAAAGTTGGGAGGGGTTGATTCGATAAGAACAGCTGCACTGTTATTTTGTTCAATCCATGTTTCCGTTAAAAACATAAAATCGAGATTGTACTCAGTGATAAAATCATTGATTAAAAATGTTTTTCCTGCCAAAGACCTGACATTTAATAAAGCTAGTTTAAGTTTGTTGAACACACTATCAGTCAGGTTTTTTTTAACAAGCTGTGGCTGACATGGAATCACTGCTAAATTAGATAAACTCACACAAACTTTTGAGCGCTTCCTGTGTCTAAGCTGATTCACCGCTCTTAATCTATTACCTATCAACACAGATATCGGCAAAGCTACAGGCAGGCAGGGCCCCGGCATGTCCTTGAAAGAGTTGAGAGTGCCATACGCCCTTGAGCCTGGACCCAGCATATATCAGTCAGTGTTTGCGTTTTTTTACCCACACACATCCTTATCAGGCTTCGGAGACAGCAGTCTTGAAGGGGGGGGGAGGACGTTTTGGTCCGGATGATTGTGATAGGCATGGTGACGGGGGTGATGGTGCGCGTCCAGGGGGAGGAGGTGGTTGACGTAGGCACGGTGACGGAAACGGGGGAGGTGGTGCTTCAGTGATTTTGATTGGCGTCGTTGAGGAGCGGGGGTAAAGGACATGCTGCCAGCCCTGCGTATCGCCCTAGTTTGGTTATTGAACTCCAGGAAGGAATCGGTGCCAACCCTCTGTATCTCCTTCATGTGTTCAGCGATCTCCAGGAGGGTGGGCGAGGGTGAAAGGGTGAACGGCCACGCCACTGTAAGACTGAGGTCGTCGTAAAAATATTAAAATATGGCTGAAACCCTCCGTCTATTTACGAAGAATAACTGTCCCAGTGATAAGTTAATGTCCAGGAGCAGCTGTTCGAAGTTTTCAGAAAAAGAAAAATAGAAAAACAGCATAAAAAAGTAAGCAGAGGCAAGAGCAAGCAGAAACGCGTCTGCACTGTAAGAAGGCTGGGAGATAATCCATTTCTCACTTATTCTGTACTTAACCCCAAATAAAAGAACCCAATAAAAAGAGTTGTTAAATAATAGTGAAGTCACGTTGTAATAACAATAACTCATCTCTCTCTCGTTTTATTTTTCAGCTTTTCCAAAAGCCAGTGTCAAGTGTCCTTCTTGGCTTGCCGTCCAGAGTTGTCCAATATGGCGGACCATGCATCTCGCACATGTGACACTGTCCGCGGCACTGTCGTGTACTGTCCGCGGCCACAGCTAGACCATATTGGACTTTATGACAAGTTTCGCCCGCTGTGAAGCTTTTCTTGTTTCCATAGTTTTGCACCCCGGGCCGTTGTTTTGATATTCCGCTGAAGTATACGCTGTGACCATAGACTGTACATATACTGTAAAGGCTGTGACGTAATAACTCTTTTTGTTTTTGTTTTACTTGAGCACATGACTTTGACGTCCTCAGTGGAAGCATCAGATTTTGTTTTATTTTGAAGGCATAATCACACCACTACCTTTTTATCTGTTGTAACTTCACAATTAAAGCAATTTAGTCCATATGAAGCCTGAGAAAAGTCACAACTGTTGTATATTTAATACAGCAAAAAGGTGAATTGTGTTGCACAATATCAATCCAAACTTATGATGGAGTTGATGTTAAGCTTTGCCATTTCTTATATCAATGTAGGAGAGTTTGCAGCTCCTTAAAACATGCGATGTTCAAAAAACAACATTGCTGCAAGATAAAACTAGTTATTCACACAAACCAAACACTCTTACATCTGACATATATCCCCACCCCACAACAGTAAACAACAACATAAGACCAATAGTAGACCAAACTTGGTTTTATTTATATATATATAAAAATGAAGTTTTTCAATTCATAGGGGGAAAGTAACATCTCTCAAATAAGAAAACGGTGACATTTAAGTGTTGCTAAAAATTTACCTGCACTTTGACACATCTACCTGGAACCACAATACCACACTTTAGGTTCTGGTGCGTGGCAGCGAGTATCTGAAGCACACTCTGATGGATGACTCAGCAGAATATTTGAGTGCAAACTGTGGAAGAGGCACAAAGCCAGGTGATGTGTTGCTCTTTACCTGGCTGCGTCCCACAAAAACATTAAACACACCAAGGGCTTCAAATATTTCTCAGTGCAAAGTCTCAGTGAAGCTGGAAGTGTGTGTCCTAAATTGATACCCAGCCTGCTTTGGTTGTCAGGGCGACAGCAGCCATGTTAGATGTTGAAGATGAAGGATGTAAAGGCATCTAGACAGGAGCAGCAGCATCCACAGGCTGCAGGGAGTTCACACTTCACTGCACTTCCTTGCACAAATCAGCACCAGATCACTGCTACTCGTCATCTCTCCCTCCTGTTCTACTCAGCTGCAACAGAAAAACACAAGACAACAATAAGACCTGGCACCGTGTGAAGGATTTCAAAAAGGTTCTGGTTTAAAGGTTTTACTTACATGCTGGATCATCAAGAAGAGAGGATGAGGGAGAAAAATAAAAATTAATGACAGGTTCACAAAGGATGTAACTTAATGCACCCCCTTGTGGACAGAATATAAATTGCACCTACTTTGACAACGTCGATCCAGTCCCATCCTCTTGGCAATACCCCTTTGTGATCTGAAAGTAGAAATCATTATAATATGCACTGTTATTCTGACTAAAAACACAATCACTACTGCCTTTATTTTCCACTGGAGATCCTGAATGTTTAAGAAATGTGTATCAAGCGGTCCAATGCATGATGCAGCAGATTAAAACAACAAATATATATCCTCTTATATGCAATACTACTTCACTGTGGAAACTTAAAGTGATGTACCTGTTTTGTTGACAATCTTCCTCTTCTGGGATTTAGTCAGCTGTTCCTTCCTCTCCTTCTTCTTGGCTGTGTTCCCGTCACCGATGGATGTTGTCTGCATCAACAAAAAATGATCAAACCAAGGAAGAAGATGCCATACAATGCTAACAGTGTTTCACGGGCAAATACTCTCTGGGATGAAGTATCCAGTGAATGTGATATACTGACCACAGCAATGATGACAGGCTTGTGGTTCTCCATGAGTTCCATCTTGTTCTCCTTGGCCCACTCAAACAGAGTGTACATCATGGCCGTGCCCAGGTTAGCCTCCACCTGCTCCCCCAGCTTTGACAGGATCAGCTGCTTCGTCTCTGCAGAGCTGATAGCAAATCCAAAAAAGGAATGAAAAAACAAACCTATAACACAAAGTAATTGTCCTAGAAAAGCAGACTCAATATATTTAAATTTGACAGTTTTCCCCAGTATGAAATCTAAAAGGAATTAAAATGTATTTCATGCTGAAAAATACAATTTACAAATAAAAATACCATTTAAATTAACTAAATATTTTAGGAATATTTTAAAACCTTGTTTTTGTGTCAATGGCTTATGGCAGTATTTCTGATTCTCTCCAGTATGCCCCAGTTTTTCCTAAATCATAATTAATCCTTTATATTTTTTCCAAGTCAAATGGATCTAATCAAAAAGAAAAGAATATAAAAACCTTAAATGATGTGGCTACATCCAAATACAATATTACTGGTCCTTAAAACTGTATCTGTAAACTGTTGTGGAGTTTAAAACCATGCAAAAGGCACTCAGTTAGATTCCAGATGTTTATGTCATTTTCTATTCTGAAATCAGTGTTTCTAATTTCAACTAATTAATTAATAATAATAATATTAAAGCACAGTGCTTACATCTTGTTGTTGAAAAAGGAATCGAGAGTGATCTCGGGGGACGTCTCAGGGTACGTCTCAGGCCATGTGACGTCCAAGATGAACGCTATGGTGTCATCAAGGTCTCCTATCTGGTGTTGACCAATAACAAGATCAAAAACTGCTTGTTTAAGGTCATGAATTACATGTGAAAGGGCATATTTAAAGATCTTGCTTTAATGGGATGTAGGGGAGGCACATGATATGGTCTTTTTTCAAAGCAGGACTGGACAGTACTCACCCTAAACTGGAAGGAACTTGAACTGATTTCCTTAAAACACTCATCCCCTTCATAGATTGAGAGAAGAGCCTCCAGCTCCATCTGTGGGTAGAAGAGGGGGGGGGGGGGGGGGGGGGGGGGGTACAGGAAAGAGGTCAGATCGAGGAGGGGATTACATGAGCAGCAGCGTGTCACTGCACACCAAATAACATAGTAATATGACAAATGACCAGTGGTGTAAAGTAACTAAGCACATTTACTCAAGTACTGTACTTAAGTACAATTTTGAGGGACTTGACCTCTACGAGTATTTCAATTTTCTGCTACGTTGTACTTCTACTAAAAATGGTAAATGGTACTAGGTAAATGGTGTACTTTTACTCCACTACATGTATTAAATACCTTTAGTTACTTCACAGATGTGGATGAATGATGTGAAATCTAATCAAGTGTTGAATCAGACTTTAGTTCCACCTGGAGTAAATCCACAAGCTACCCTGCAGTATACAAAGTCATTCAAACTAGCTGCACCTTTACCAGCTTTGAGAACACTTTCATGATCAATCATTATAAAACATATCATATATATTATTCTGAAATGGACCAATCTGCACAATGACTACTTTTACAATGTTATATATGTTGATGCCAATACTTGAGTAATATTTTGAAATGCAGTACTTTTACTTGTAACAGAGTATTCATACACTCTGGTACTTCTAGTTGTACTTAAGTACAAGATCTGAGTACTTCTCCCACCTCTGCAAATTACACATTACAGGGTAAGCAGGTAAGAAAGACTCAAGTCCCTCACGAGATTATTGTTTTCAACAACCATGCATGAACACTTTAATGCATCACCTGGTTTATAACTCAATTCAATATTTTAGCCACTTACTAACTTGCCACTTTATATATATGTTGTGTATACACGGTTACATTATAACACGTATTGTATTTACAAAGGGTCTTGACTAATGGTTTATTATGTGGCATGCACTCCTTCCTACAGTTAACACACATTTTAATGGCGTTAGGAGTGACATGTTCTCATTCATAAACGACGCTTCTCAGGGCTCAACAGCTAACCCTTTGACACTGTGGCCTGAGTTCCCGCATACTGAATGCAATCTCACAAGTGGACGTGTTTTCTATGTAACAAGCAGAAAAGATGTAGAATAAGCCCGTCAACACAAACTCATATGCTAGCAGTGACGCTCGTGTCATGTAGTTAGCAGTTAGCCGCTAGCTAGCAG